GCCATAATCTCTACATCACGAAAACATGAAACATCTATTTTACTTTTTTCTGGTATTATAACCAAACATAACATAAAAATATGTACTATCGCAGAGAGTATTTTGTTTAGAATTATCGGTAGAAAATTTACCTTCTGCACATTTCGTCTCGATATTTTGTATTTTACTGCAGTCCACAATAGAATAACTAGACGGATAATTTGGTGCATCGCCCTTATCAAAATGCCTATCAACATGATTATTTGAATTTTCGTCATCGTTAAATGTTGAAATGTCTTCTTCTATAATATGGTTCAATTTTAATAACGCCGTTCATAAACTATACTAGACATAATACATAACCAATTAGCATACCTTTATCGGCCGCAATTGTCCGGCCAATCTTCAACGATTGAGCAAGCCATGTGCTCGATTGTTCGTCGGTCTTTACCGAATCCTGAAAAAGATAGATTGACTGTACTTCATGTGGTTTTTATTTTACCACGAGCAACGGTCGTAACGGATACGAAAATATTAGAGGCTAACAGTTGCGGGACCCGTTATACTTTCAACCAAAATTATGTATAAGAAGAAAACTATTGGTCTGATCTAAGAAATTATAAGGAATCATCGATTTATATTCATACGTTATCGAGGTGAACGTCCGACGTAACGATTTCGATTTCGGACGGAGCGACGACGACGGCGACGGCGACTTCGGGTTGTTCATCGTCGTCGTGGTCGGTTTTAACCGGAGACTGCGTCCTGGAGTTGCTGTCTTCATTGACCGTAGTGGACGGTATGACATGTACCGATTCGCCCACGGGAAGCGTCGTGGTGGCCGAATTATCATCGTCCACTTCGGTAGCGAAACCCCAAGACACCACGGTGTCGATAATCATTGTCACCGTGTCGGCTACAACCTCGTCGACAAGTATCGCGGCGACCGAATCTGTGTCGTCCACTTCGGTAGCGAAACCCCAAGAAACCACAGTGTCGACAATCATGGCCACCGTGTCGGCTACAATCTGGTCGGTGAGATTCGCGGTGGCCGATTTTTCATCGTGCACGTAGGTAGCTGAATTCCACGTGATCGCGGTACCGACAACCGTGGCCGGTTCCGTGTTTGTAGAAGCGTCGGCGAACAAGCGACCGACGTCGCGGTCGCGGTCGACCGAGAGCAGCCGGTCATCCCCGCGTTCCGCCACCCGAATCGCACAACCCTTGTGGCACCATTGGCATTCTGTTACGAGGACACGGAAAATCATAAGTTTAAACCGCGCGTAGGAGTGCACTACCGGAGGCAGCCACTACGCAAACACGCGCGAAACCAATGCACGTTCGAACGTACCAAAGCACCGTACCATGCGTGAGTACACGCGTCTGCGCTTGCAGGTGGCGCACTTTCCGAACCACCTGCCCGTGGCCGGTTCGATCATCAGCTCGTTAGTTCCTAATTTCCCGCCGGAAACGTGTCGGTGGCAGTCCGTCGTCGGCTTCTCCACTCTTAATATCCTTTTAAGGAAGTACTCTAATACAAACGTGTCCATATCTGTTGCGTTCGGATGAAATGTAAGAAAATATCAGTAAGAGCGCAAACAATAATGTTCCACGTCAACGCGGTATGTCAAATGAGACAATCGAAAAACTTTCGTCGCTGGTTATTTTTATTTAGGGATTTTCGATGTTTATTCGTTGCTACCGTTGTCTCACATGACAAGTGTTTTCAAGCCAATATTCATATTAACAACCAAGGGCACGGACTCGCGGCGATAGTGAAACAGTGAAAACCTCGAAACATTGATTTGCTTGTCATCTCATTGAATTTTAATTTAATTACTCCTACAATTGTAACGTTCGCAATAAAAAATGTGTCCATAACTGATAGTCTACACATTTTCGAATCAGTGATAGAAAAATTAAATCTCGTAACTGAGCAAGTAGGAGGTATTGTAAAATCGAAAATTCTTACCATTATAGAAAAAAATCCAGGCTTTATTGATATTAATTAATTTAGAGTCACCTTTCTAAAACTCTGGAGTTATCACCTTCAGATATTATGCGCTTAAATATGTTCCAATTTCATCGGTTGATTTGGAACGATCATTTTAGTCGTTTTAAAAACATTTTGAGGCTTATTCAGCGATTTTCAACATTCAATAATTAAAAAAAAAAAAATATTCAATGCTATACATACTTTGATATTTTTTTAAATTATATTTAAAAATATTTTTTTCTATAAATTTATTGTACTAGTACCGAAATTGAAACTTTTTTATCACATACAGGTATTTCCATGTTTTTAACATATATTTTGTAAATTATTTCCATATATATGTACATATTTTTGTATTTGTATTACATATTACAGATTTACATATTAATCCGTTCCTTTTTTATCAGTGATAAAAAGTAGATAAGTTCGTAGTATACACAATTGTTTCCAAGACTTTAAGGATTTCATGGATTTTCTAAGTGATTTTTCTGAAAAATAAAATGTAAACTGTTCTTTCTGTTTTTGATCATTCTGACGTTTGACACTCAGTTCTATTTTCAGCGTTGGAATATCTTTGTTAACCCTACAACAATGCTTCGGGCGACGACAAACTACGCGACAACGTAGATAAGAAGAATTATTTTTATTTTTAATTCTATCAAAAACGACTTTGCTGGAGAAAACTATGAAAACATTAAAAAAAAAACTGGTCAAATAAACAAAAATAATCAGAAAAATGCTGAAAAAAGCAAAAAAAAAGGCATTTTCAAATTCCATAACTGTACATGTTATAACTTGATATACACTTCTATAAAACTCTGCTACATTTTAAGTCAATCCATAAAAATAAGCAAATGCTTTAATTCCCTAGCCCTGTATATAAGTATAATGGTGATTTGTTTTTGAATTTATTATAATTATTCTTGATGGGCCCTCTAGAGTCGTGGCCCGTGGCCCATTGCTCGTCATGCCATTTTATCGGTACGCCACTGATTTGCGCCCTGAGGGATGTGGACAAATGCGCCCGAAAGATAAGGTTCAACCTGCCGATTTATAGCCCATATGCGTCCATTTTGCATACAACGTTGCCATTGTGATTTATAATATAGATTATTTTTACCTTGATAAATACTTAAATTCAGTAGATTAGTATAATTATAATAAATATATAATGAATAATTATATAAATTATAGTACTTAAATAATAATCGTCTAAATAATATAGTTTAAATTTTATAATTTTTTATGGAAAGATACTACTTAATCACTATAATTTATTTGAACACCACGCTATCTATTAGCTAAGTACCACATTAAATCAAAAGAAGTGTAGTCGAAAAAAAAAATAAATACATCAAAAACTTGAATTTTTTTTTAGATTTTAAGCTTTTAGTTATATATTATTGAAATTTAACAGTATGATTTCAACTTCTATACTAAATATATATATTTTGCTACAATTTTTTTCAAATTTCAGATTTAAACACTATAAACTGCGCCATTATCACACTTACAACTTTATGTATCTTGGAGTACCCACTGGTAGTGAAAGGGTTAAAAATCGACTGAAGTTTATAACGACATTATATTTTTAGTTATATGACTTTTTTTATGTAATAATGATCCACTCTACAATATTTGAGTTATAGCAAGGGCCCGAATTTATATGCTGTAAAAACCTCAGAAATATGCATTATAAAATATACATATATGCTCCTATTTTGTAAAAATATGCTCTAAAAAATAAAAAATATGTAAAATAACTAAACTAACAAAACTAAGCCATCTGTAAAAAAAATATCTTTATATTCGACATCAAATTTGTTAAGCCTATTACACGTATTTGCATAGATTTTCGGTATTTTAAGTATAAATAAATTATTTTGAATGAAAATTAAACACACTCGGATCACCACAAACACGAAGAAACTAAATCGACTAATGTATTCACTCATTAACAGATTACTACTTGTCCCGTTAGGTTTCAGATAAGATAAGAAAACGACATCGTCAAATTATAAAGAAGAGACTATTAATATAATTATAAATATTATTTGATTTAATATAAGCAAAATATTACATATCATGCATTTAAAAAACCATATAAAATATAGAAATAAACAGTACAGGTCAAAATATAGCAAAATATGCAAAAATATGCAAAATAAAACTTAGCTTACCTAGCTATTTTTTGGACAGTTTAGAAAAAACATGCAAATTAATATAAATCCGGGTCTTAGTTTTAACAGTTAAACTATCAATCAAATTCATTAATTTGATACATAATGTATTTTTGTGTTAAAATAATGAGAGGACTTAGTCACCATCATTCAAAATCTTATAGTTATATATATGTTTTTAAAAATACATATTTATTATAAAATATTTATGTATAAAACTAATATGAGCATGAAAGTATTAATTATAAGTATATCGTGTATCGAATTTGTTAATTTTATAAACCTTACATTTTCAGTGTGAGTCACATAAAATTAATACCAACAATTGATAGCATTTAGCAGCAGTAATTCATTATTAACTAGTACATAACAAACATCTTCAATACGTTATATATATTTATTTAAATGAACCTCTCTACAAATTGGGAGTTTCAAAATTGTTTAAACATACTGGTCTATGACTAAAATCTTGATTGATTTTTTAGTATTTTATTACATAAATATTGAAACAGGTATACATGACCTTGGGATATGCTAATTGAATTGCTTTCTTGAAAGTATTTTTTTAAACTAGTAACTAGTTTAAAACATTGTTGCACGTTAATAGGATGTGTTTCATTTACGTAAAATGATCAAGAAGCTATTGATGTGTTCGAAATTGATATCATAGTATTTGATCTCAAGTTAAAAAATAGAAATTTATGGTTTCTGAAGCCTTCTATGTTCAATTTTTCTAAAAACTATAATATATGTATAGTTTTCTGTTCAGTTTTATTATGTCTTTATAAAATAACACTATTACAGTTAACAACTAGAAATACAGATTTTTTTTTAATTTAATAATTAGTTAAATTGCCAAAATTGAATAGATGATTTTATTTTAATATTTAAATATATAGAACATAAATATTAAAACTGTACGATGACAAATATCACATCTACTTTGATTTTTTTTGTCAATGGTAAAAAGGTATGTACTTACATAATAGTTTACGCTTGTTTTTATTTTATACATTGGGAAATCAATAATAATTTAGAATATTTAAATAAAGTTCAACGATAAAAATCAATATATTAGTATATATATTCGTGTCTTTACTCAAAATGTAAATGGATTATTAATATTTTTAATTTTAATCGTAATTGTAGTACATTAATGTAAGATATTTTATTAAACAAAATTTTTTTTTGTTGTATCTATGTTATTTTAGATTTCATGATAGTGTAAGGCAGTTGGATAAAATTTAAATTTAAGACTTAAAAATATACTTGATAAAATTACATTTAAAAAAGTGAATTTTTTCATGTTTACTTTCATGCTACTCTAAAAATTATAATTGATCTTAAAAGTAATATTTTTGGCCTGTTATAATTTAATTATCTATTATGATATATGCCTGAAATTCCTCAATTGTAAGTAATTTTGAAAGTATTATGCAACATACACAACAATCTAAGAAGATAATTGTTGTACAGTTAAATGTAGATTGTAAATTTATAAATAAGACTAATGTGATTAGAATGCAATATTTCAACAAAAAAGTTTAGTAAATATAGAGTAAACAAAGATAAGTTTTAAGAAAAAAGTAGCTTAACATAATATTTTTATTAAATAAAGAAAATATTAATTAGTTAATAATGTTAGCTAAATATCATTATTTATTTTTGTTAGATTATAATACATAAAGTAACTTGTATGTATCAATGTTTATACACTGTACCTATGTCCTTAATTATAAACCGTATAGTAGTGTCAATTTTTATTGTGATTATAGATTATTAACAACTTGTATGCTGATCATTTGAAAATGTTATAGCTATTACAAATGTCAATAATTTTATATTGCTATAATAGTAATGTATTAATGTGAAACAATTAATTATATTTAATTAGGTTGTTGAAACCAAAGCTGATCCACAATGGACTTTACTTTATTATTTGAGAACTAAATGTATCCTTTTGAATTATTATTTGTATTTCAAATAACATGACAAAAATGTAGTTAATTAAAAGTATCAGTATCGTACTTTCCTTGACTTCATCATTAAAGTGAGTTTATGTGGAACTAAATTGGGATGTGCTGAAGGAGGATGTGGAGCTTGTACTGTAATGATATCAAAATACGATCGTTTGAAAAATTGTCCACTGTATCCTTTGACTGATTTAAACATAAAAATATATATACAATGATAATACTTAATTAACAATAAATTATAACTCATAATTGTATCATATATATATCAGTGGTTCTCAATCTTTTTAGGACCGCGACCCAAATTTTCTTTCAAAAATCTATCACGACCCCATAGTTTTACATTTGCAGAATCAATAAACATAATTACAAAAAACAAATTATTTCTATTTTATTACTTATTTACTACTTTATAATAATAATAATAATAATATAATACTTAATTAATAATTAGGCGTATGTGATGAATGTGCTTGTTTCTTGCAGTCTGTATAATTAAAAAAACTTCTCGCGACCCCCTAGGGGGTACGCTGATATATATAATATATTGTATATATTAATTATAAAAATAAATATTCTTTAAAATATTAACTATAGACACATGGCTGTCAATGCTTGTTTATGTCCCGTAGTTAGTGTACATGGATGTGCTGTAATAACAGTTGAAGGTATTGGTAGCACTAAAACAAGATTGCATCCTATACAAGAACGAATAGCAAAAAGTCATGGAACTCAATGTGGCTTTTGTACACCGGGTATCGTGATGTCAGTATATGCAATGCTTAGATCTCTAGAAAAAACACCGGGTGAAAAAGATCTAGAAATCGCTTTACAAGGCATGCATAATATTTGAGTATAAATAATTATTACGTGTCAATTGCTTATTAATTACTTGATTACAGGTAATTTGTGCAGATGTACAGGTTATAGACCAATTTTAGAAGGATTAATGATGTTGACTAGTAGTAATAAGACTACAAGCATATGTTCAATGGGAGAAAAATGTTGTATGAAGACTAAGAAAAAAATTGAAAATGACATCGAATATGTAGTAAAATCTGATTTTTTACCTTACGACTCATCTCAAGAACCAATTTTTCCACCGGAACTTGTAGTGAGAATAACATAATATATTTAATTAAATTCAATGAACGATACGTCCAGGACGTATATTTAAAATGTTTCTGTAGCTAACTAAAAAATTTGACGAGGAGTATGCGGTATTTAGAGGTAGGAAGACGACCTGGTACAGGCCAACAACACTTTTAGAGTTATTGAAACTTAAGTCTGAACATCCCAATGCTCGAATAGTTGTCGGAAACACCGAAATTGGTTAAGCTTATAAATAGACAAATTATAATTAAAAATTGAATACCTACTACATTATTATTTTTTTTAAAAATAGGAGTTGAAATTAAGTTCAAAGATTGTCAGTATCCTGTTATGATACAACCCAACAAGGTTTCAGAGTTAAATGTCATTAAAAAAAGTGTAAAGGGATTAATCGTTGGAGCTGCGGTAACTATTGACAAATTAGAAAATGAGTTGAAAAAATTGGTAGATACCATGCCAGGTAGGTTAAGATACAGATAGCTTTACATCAGTGGTCGGCAACCTTTGAACTTAAAAAGGTTTCACAGGCCAGAGAATACAAAAAATTTAAATTATATTCAATGACATTTGCTAGTTTTGTAATTTAAGGCGGGTCGTATAAAAAAGATGTGTGGGTTGGATGCGGCCCGTGGGTCGCCAGTTGCCAATCTCTGCTCTACATCGTTTTATAGATTTTTTCGTGATAATATTTATAACTTGTTACAGACTATAGAACCCAAGTAATAAAATCTTTAATAGAGATGATTCCCTGGTTTGCTAGCAAACAGATTCGTAACGTTGCTGTAAGTTATATCAATAATAATTTAGTGATAAGGTTATTAATTTTAATATTATTTGTGTAGTGTATAGCTGGAAATATTGTTACGGGAAGTCCTATATCAGATTTAAATCCAATATTTTTAGCTGCACGTTGTCAGTTAAAAGTTCAGAGTGAAAGTAAAAATAATTCTAATACTTAAATTTATTGTAATCAATCATTTTTAATAGTCTGAATATAAACAATTATTTACAGAAAACGGAATACGATTCCTGAAAATGGACAGTACTTTTTTCACAGGTTATCGAAAAACTTCCTTAAGCCCGGATGAAGTGGTAATAGATTTATTTATCCCATTTACAAAGAAAGTACGTACCTATGAAATTAAATTTTATTAAATTTAAATTACTATTTTAAATTAGTAAATATTGTAATCGTATTAAAAATTTGTTTATAGCATACATTTTTTAAATCATTTAAACAATCAAGAAGAAAAGAAGATGATATAGCATTAGTTAATGCCGCATTTTATGTAGAGATGTCAAATAATACGGTAAAAGATGCAGAATTTGTTTTTGGTGGTATGTCATCTACTGCAGTTATAGCTCAAAAAACTAAATCGTTAGTTATTAATAGCGAATGGTCAGAGACTATGTTAGATGATGTGTATTTGGAGTTACTCAATGATTTACCACTGGCATTAAATGCCCCTGGAGGAATGGTAACATATCGAAAATCTCTTGTTTTAAGGTGAAATTTTGGTGAAATTTAATTAATTTCTCATCTAACGAGTTATTTATTGTTAGTTATTTATTTAGTTATTTATTTTTTAGTTTATTTTTTAAATTCTATCTTTATGTGAGCAATCAATTACATTTGGGAATGACACACGTGGAAAATAACTATAACGCTGCTGTGAGCATTTCAAAATATGCTCAATATTATCAAATAAATCCAAATTCTCAGAATTCTGATGATGCTATTGGTAAACCATTAGTTCATAAGTCAGCTATAGAACAAACTACAGGTAAAATTGTATTATAATTTAACAAATTAATATGTATATATTTGATTTAATTACAAGATATTATTTCGAATATAAAATAATAGAACTTGTGTATTTTGTAATTTCCCTTTTATTTTTATATTTAGGCGAAGCGGTTTATTGTAATGATATACCTCCTCGTTCCGATGAACTTTATTTAGCTATTAAAACGTCTATTCATGCTCATGCTAAGATAATTAAAATTGACTATACTGAGGCTTTATCATGTTGTGGTGTGGTAACAATAGTGGATGAAAAAGATTTACCTGGAAATCGTAATATGGTTGGTATAATGCCGGTAAAAGATGACTATGTTTTTGCTAGAGAAAAGGTATTTAAAATTAATATTAATTTAATTTTTCAAACTTAAATTATGTTCAAACATTGAAAGAAAAATCTTTATTCTCAGGTGATCAATTTTGGGCAAGTAATTTGTGGATTAATTGCAACAGATCCGATAATTGCTCAGGATGCAATTAAATTAATACATATTGAGTATGAAGAATTAAAGCCAATAATAACAATTGAGGTTGGTTTTACTAAAAATAGTTAAAATTATAATAATCAAACCACATTATATTTTAATAATTAAAAAAATGTAAATAATCGGAAATAAACGAACATCAATGCAATGAATTACAAATAATGTGGTCATTATGAAACATATTATAGGAAGCCATTACAAATGAAGCATATTATGATGCTCGATGTGCTTACTGGGAAAAAGGGAGTATAGATCAAGGGTTTAAAGAGTCAAGTCGCTCTATAAATGGTTCTTTGAGAATAGGAGGCCAAGATCATTTTTATTTAGAAACGCATTGCTGTAGAGCAATACCGTTAAATGAACACAATGAGATCGAAATTATAAGTGCAACACAAAGCCCAAGTGAATTACAGGTATACACAACAAAAATTATTACTTAAAATTACTGAAAATAAAGTTAAATAATTATTTTTCAAAATAAAATACACATAGTCACATAATTAAATATGTTTTAAATAATTATCATGTTCATCAAATAAAATAAAAAAAAAAACAATTAACACATAACTGGAAAACATAAAATACCCAATATAATATTTAATTAGTTTAAATATAGATTACACAAAATCGAAATTATCATGAGTATCAAAATTATTTTTATTTATATGATTTTATTATGAATGTGTTTTTATTTATTTAATATTTCATGTTGAATTATGATCTAATTATTCTAATTATTTTCATTATTATTGAATTGAAAATATAGTTATCAATAATAAAAATTTCATCTAAATGTTATAAATGTAGAAATCACAATTGATTTTTGGATATTATTTTGATTAGACATGTATTTCTCATTGTTTGGATATCCCAGCAAACCGTATAGTTTGTAAAACAAAGCGTATTGGTGGTGGCTTTGGTGGTAAAGAAACTAGAGGATTTATTGTAGCTGTACCATGCGCAATAGCTGCTATGAAGTAAATATTGACTTGAATAGGTTTCTAGAAAATAATGTTAATTAAGTTTTACTTTCTTAGAACTGGAAAACCAGTAAGATGTATGCTCGATAGACACGAAGACATGTCAGTCACTGGTGGTAGAAATCCATTTTTATGTCAGTACAATGTAGGATTTAATGAAGATGGGATAATGCAAGTATTAGATATGTCGGTTTATTGTAATGCAGGGAGTTCCAGGGATTTGTCCACGAGTGTAATTATTGATATATTTTATAAACTTATTTTTTCGTATTGTGATATTTAATTTTTGCTTTGTAGACAATTGAGAAATGCATTTGTCACATAGCAAATGCGTATCATATAGATCACGTTAGAGTATCAGGATATGCATGCGCAACAAATTTATCATCTAATACAGCCTTTAGAGGATTTGGTGCTCCGCAAGGGATGTTCTTTGCGGAATCAATCATCGATCATATAGCTAAAGAGTTGGGCATTGATTCAAATGTAGTGAGAGTTAAAAATTTTTACAGCAACGGTCAAATTACGCATTATAATCAATTGGTCTCTAATTTTACTGTAAAAGATTGTTGGAACGAAGTATTAGAAAGATCCAACCACACATTAAAATTCAACGAAATCGTAGAGTTCAATAGGTATGCGATTCTTATTTCGTGTGTATACATATATATTGATATTTACATATTAGGACCTATTGCAAAAACTTAATATTATAATAAATATAATTATTTACAAACAATATTCTTTTTAATCAGTATACAAGTATCATAATTAACACATCATGATTGGTGGATATAGAATGAATCGATGGAAGAAACGTGGAATCGCAGCTATACCGACAATGTATGGTATTGGATTTTCAGGAGGATCTACATTTTTAAATCAAGCTGGTGCTCTTATACTAATTTATGAAGACGGCTCTGTACTGTTAACACACGGGGGAGTCGAAATGGGCCAAGGATTGCACACGAAAATGATTCAAGTGGCTAGTAAAGGCTTGGGTATTTCCACGGATTTAATACACATTAAAGAAACTAGCACGGATAAAGTGGCTAATATGTCACCGACAGCCGGTAGTTTCAGTTCCGACCTCAATGGGATGGCTATTCTTGTGGGTTGCCTAAATACTTATAAATTAAATTAAAAGACATCGTAATTTAATTTTATAAGTGATAATTTGCAGAATGCATGTGAGATAATTAATAAAAGATTGGAACCGATAAAGAAAAAAAATCCAACAGGTTCATGGGCCGAGTGGGTGAAAACGGCTTATTTTGACAAAGTGAACTTATGTGCATCGGGATTTTATGCGTGAGTATTCATGTTATTAATTTATTAAAATATATACCATATAGTTATGAGCTAAAAAATATGGATTTATATTTTTCGTTAAATACTTATATTTTAATTTAATAATATTATATAAGTTTTTTTTTTTTTTTTTAAATACTTTTTTTAAAACTATAAATCAACTATTATGTACTTTAAAATAGCACGAATTATTTATTTTTCAAAAATTTGTAATCATATATTTTAATTGAAATTTCATAAAAATATTATTTTCTAAGAATATTATTCTGCCTATCTCTATACTTTAAACTTAAAATTCAAACTATCATGAAACGAATAAACTATTTGTTTGTTGTTCTATTTTTGCTTTTTGTAGTATTATATTTACATAACTATGTCTAAACATTAAATAAATAAAAATAGTAAATTTAAGAACTAAATATTAATTTTATTTTAATGTGTAAAATATTTTAGATAACATAAAATAAATATATTTATAAAAAGTCGAAACATTAGAACTTATACTTTGTAGATCTTTAATAAAATTAATAAATTAAAATCAAATCTTAAATTGATATGAAAAAGTAATCATATTATATCAATAAATACTGATTTATTGTATTTTTGACATTAAATATTTTCGATACTGTAGAAGATTCGATTAAAAATTATAGTATACTATTGAACTTAAATTACGGATACAGAAAAAATAAAAAAAACATTAGATTCAATATCATAACACATATTAATATGGTTTTATTTATTAGTTATATAATATGGTTTTTAACTTTATAATATATTTTGAATATGTTTGATGTAAGATTAACACAAAAGTGTATTTCTTATTTTGATTTTTTTTCTTTACATAACACACCGACTCTGACAATTAAATTAAAAAAATAATAATTGCATTTGGCAGATAACCATGAAAAATTAATTACTTATGTTGTACAGAAATCACATTATAGGAACAACAACAGACCAAGGCACGGTCAACTATCATTTATATTTTACTAATGGAGCAGCTGTTTCGGTGGTAGAAGTGGATTGTTTGACTGGTGACCATGAAGTATACAGGGTGTTTCATATTTTCTATATTAAACAGGTTTTTATTAATTTTTTTTTTCTTTCGATGAGGTTTTAAGTACCGACATAGTGATGGACGTTGGACAAAGTTTAAATCCAACAATAGATGTGGGGCAAATCGAAGGGGCATTTATGCAAGGTTACGGATTATTCACATTAGAGGAACTAGTATACAGTCCAAAAGGAATACTGTACACTAAAGGCCCTGGTACATATAAAATACCAGGATTTTCAGATATACCAAAACAATTTACGGTTTCACTGTTAAAAGGTTCAGAAAATTCAAGAGCTGTTTATTCATCAAAAGTATTTTATTAGATAATTTATTTTTTTTTTTTTATTCTTTTACTTTATAATTCTATAAAGTATAAACTATATAATAATAATAATATTTAGGCTATTGGAGAACCCCCATTGTTTTTATCTTCTTCGATTTTTTTCGCCATCAAAAATGCAATATATTCAGCTAGAAAAGATGCTGGCATTACAGGATATTTTAGACTTGATGCTCCAGCAACTGTAGAAAAAATTAGAATGTCTTGTCAAGACACAATTATTGATAAGGTAAGTTTGTTATTAAAAATAAATTAATAAGTATCAATTATGCTAATAACAGGGTATTTTTTTTTAATATCTCGAATTTTATTTTCACTGTAGCTGGAAAAATATGAAACTAATACAGAAGATTCATGGAGTATCATAGTTTAAATGCTATTACATTTTTTATAAAAATAAATTAATATTTTATAGTTTGAGATATAAAAAATGTTTATGATTCATTTATGAAAGTAGTTGGAAAAATAAACTAATGGAATTATAATCATTAAAACGTCTATAACATTTTATTTTTAATGCTTAATTTCTAAAAAAATTTCAAATCATTATTTACTTTGTATGTTTGTGTAAAATATTTTATTTGTTAGAATTTAAGTACATTATATTTAATGTTTAATGTGTATGTTATTGAATTTAATTGTATTTTCAAGTATTTTCTTTAAATAATATTTAAACTTTGAATGAGTATAAGAAAACATTAGGAATAACGATGTCAATAGTTTTTAAAATGTATATAATTAAGTAAAATATATAAGCAAATAACAATTTTAATTATTTTAATGGCACTCCATTAAACTGCAATAATTATTTGACCATATAGAGAAATATTTGAACTTACACCAACGAGTTATGTCAGTTATAAACATTTTAAAAGAAAGTGATAAATCTAGAACTTCAGGTTTTAAAAGCGTTGAAAGATATATTTAGTTATATTTATCAGTTATAGAGAAAGTGTTAATGAAATGACACATGTTTTTTTATAATAAAATAAATTAACCTTTCTTTCCTAATGTGTAACAACAATTAAACTATTATATATATATATATATATATATGTTTTAGGTAATTGATTGACTTACATTTTTTGAAAGTCTAACCATGAATCAAAATAAATCAATTACACATAAAACTATAAATCTAGTGTTTCGTTGGAACATCATTTTTTCAATAAAATTTCAACATCGTATTAAATTACATTTAGTTTCATAATTTGATTTAAATAGTAATATTACAATAGAAATTGAATAATAATTATTTTTTATTTTAATCAAATATATTATTTTAAAATTGTTAACTATTTATATTAAATATATTACTTTTCAAAGGCGAAGTCTTGGCCAAATATTTCAAGGCATGCATATTACATGTATACATTTTATACGAGTATGTATATACAAATAAAATCAAAAAACCTCTATAACATTAAATAAAAAAAATATATATATATATATATATATTAATATAATATATTCTTTTATCATATTATTCAAAGGAATAAATCATTAAGCATTATTGTCTGTCTACGATATTCTGTTGTCATACATGTCCTTGACTTTGTATGTAGCAAACACAACAAAACTAACTTAAAATCCTGTCATACCCTCATACCTACATAATATAAACGATATACTGACGATTGTGATGATAATAATAATAATAATAATAATAACAATAATAATAATAATAATAATAATAATAATAATAATAATAATAATAATAATAAAAGCATAATAATGATAAATCAAAAATTCTCTTAAACTGGTTATGGTGTGAGAAAGTGGTCAACCTTATACATTACCATCGTACACAGCGTACCTGTATACACAGTTCAGCAACAGTACGCAAGCCAGTTGGTCATTGGTCGAATTAACAATATCACCTATGAAAAAATGACGTAGATATTTTTGTGAACTCGTAAATTAATAATACGAAATTAGGTAATTATGAATTTTGCAGTCAAAGTGATCGCAGTGATCGTGTTTAACTATTGTTCAACTGGTAAGTAAAATTTTGTTTAATTGCTCTGAAAACAAAAATAAAAATACCATATCACCTCAAAATTAACTAAAAGTTAAAAATGTAATGCAATTTATAAGTAATACGTAAACTTGCAAATTTATATGTATGTTTATGTATATTGTATGTATTTATGGATACCAAATAATTCTTTGTCATTTTTTGTATTATTTTACGAATGAACTTACTACATTATTTTAATTTTGCAAAACAATCGTATAGATTATTTAACAAGCTATTTGAGGAGATTTAAATAAACTATTATATTTTTCCTAAATGTATTATTATATTATTTAAAATTAACCTACTTCTATATATTCGTATTTATTATATTTTTGTTTTATATAAACGATTTGTGACTGCGTTCTTTTTTCACAAATAACATATTGATTATAACTACATTTTACAACATATATATTAAAAAAAAATAACCATAAATACATTTCATACATGCTTTATAATTTCATGACTCATGACTATAAACGAAAGTCTGGCTATTTAAATTACATACATTAAATATTTTAACTGAATGTAAGGTTAGAAGGTACATTCGTTGAACACCTTGTTCTACTCGTAACTTCTTTTGTGATTAAATTATAGTATAATATTTCATTTTTTTAAAACTATAGAAATAGATTAAAATTTAATTGAAATAAATATATTTTCGATCATAGAGTTATTAAATTAAATTTACTAAGCTCGTATTAAATTAATTATACTACATTAGAAAAATTAATAACATATATATTTAAAATTCAAAATAAATATTTGTAAGAATATTGTTTTAAATAATATTAATAAGAGGTTATACTATTTTAATGTGACTTTGTAACTTAAACTGATTTTTGAATAATGATTGACCTAAAATTAAAACTTGTTATTATGTACAATATTAGTCAGAATTATAAATAACGTATTAAAAAGGCCTACAATTTTTTTTAATGCATTGGAAACCTTAGTGTATAATTTGCACACTAATTTAATACTTTTATATTGGTACATTGTTTTTATTATTATTAAATTAACAATAAATATGTACTTTTGATAAAAAAATTATCTTGTACTTTAGATTTTTTATAAATTAGGAGAAATTCGTAATAAATCGTAACAAGCACACGGTGAGTAAAAGTGAAATCAGACTTCAGTGAAACCGATTTCAAATAATAATTAGTGACAATTCTTAAATTCTTGAAAATATCAATCATGATTTTCAAATTAGTTTTCAAATTTTTACTTTTTTATAATCCTTATACATGTATATATTTATATAATTATTTAAAAAGACAATGAATCGATTATTTTTTAAAGCTGACAATTTAAAATACTATTTTGATTAATAATCGACCTTACTGTGAAAGCGTAACATTTCAATTCATCTTTTTAAATGTCGATTATGTACATACCACATGTTTTACAATAACTTCTCACATTATCTCCACAGTCCTCACACGTTGTTACATAATTATTATTCACCTCAAGCAATATCAGAATAAGAAAAATGTTGATGGTGGTTTTTAATAAATATATATGCTAAGGTCGTCAAAGAACATTGAACCCTTCTAGACATTCTCAGGTCATTGTTCGCCATTCAAAATGATGAAGGTGGTCCAAAAGTAAATTTTATTGTTAATTACCTATGTCAAATTTGTATGACAAGTGAATTTTAATTATTAAGAAATCAGCAAAATATATTACTTCTTTAATTATTATGTCGTATAACATAACTAATCTCTCATTTTAAAAACTATGTTTTTCAGAATGATTGTATTCTATTTATTTATATCTCCAAATTGTTTACATTATATAAATATGTGTGTAATTATATTAAGTTAAATTATTTTTGTAGATATTATATTCAATAAAAATATCAAGGAAATAAAAATATATCAATAAATATAATGTAATTTTTATAAATTTCATACAATTCGTACATTTGTTAAAAATAGCTTTCCTTAAGTCTGGTAAATTAAAAAAAAAAATCATGATTAAATGAATATTTTTCTCGTAAATATTAACATTAAATTAAAGAAAGCTGAAAAAGATGATTTTAGACATTGAATATAGTTTTCTCACCTTAGCAAAAAATATATTCCCATTGTTATTAAAGATTGTTGAATCTTATATTTTTATTTTAATATAACCCCTCCCAAAGCAATTTGAACTGATAAAATGTTGTTATGAAACCATGGTTTCTAATTATTTTTTTCTTTTGGATGTTTAAGAAAACTACGGTAAAATCACTTAATTAGGAATCAATATAATTTTACTAATAAATATTATAATGAATAAATTAGATAATGAGTTACACAAATTGTTAATGTTACGTAATTGAATAACAGCTTAGTTGTGGTCATTTTTTAAATTAAATTTTTTATTTTTTATAACTTTTAATGAATTAGTTTTTATACAACTATTTATTAATATACACAAACATTTTCATTTTAAATAACTTTAGGGTGTATAATGTTTATGAAATTCATATAATAATAACTTAATTATATTATGGTTTATAATTTTATAAGTTTGGTTCTTCAATCATAAACGTACCATAAATATCAATAACATTATATATATATATAATATATATATGATAAATTCCGAAATGGCTGAATGGATTTATATGTGGTTTACACTGTTTGATAAACAATTAACCAAGGACAGTTTATGTGTATAATTTATTGATATAACTTGATTAATAACATTTTTATTATCAATCAATTATCAATCAAATTTTGATATGGCAGACGTACAACACATGTAAGCACAACGCTCTCCCGTCGTATGATTTGGTTCTTTCTAAATTTGATACACAATCACAAATTTACTATTCAGTTGACACATTTTAGAAAAGGAGGGAAAAAATTTTCCAACTGAATTTCTTAATTATTAAATGTCTTCTGGAGTTCCACCTCAAAAACTGTTCTTCAAAATGTGGGCATCTTTTATTTTAATGAGAAATTTGAGCCCATTCTACCTAGACAACAATGATATAAGACTACAAATCAAATAATCGAAACAATTTTAATTTATAAAAATGTCCATAAATTAATGCTAATATTTGCACTTTGTAGATTACATATATACAAAGAAAAAAATAGTGATGAGCATCAGTTTTTTTATTGGCATAGTTATAATATTTTTTTTTTAATTCAATTTTAAATTTTAACAATAAAATTAAAATTTAACGGGTATTTGAAATGCAATTATTTTCACAGGTTACGTTATGCGAGTACAGCTAGTTAAAATGTGAAAAACAATTATCATATATAACAATTATAATTATATAATATTTAAATATATTCGTATAATAATAAATAAATAATTTGAGTAAAATGCATTGAATAAATCAGTTAATGTTTATTTAAATATTTCTAGTGTTAAGTGAGACTGCTGGTGAAACTTTTGTTTGCCCAGAAATCGGCGGTAACGGAAATTATGCTGATCCCGCAACATGCCGTAGATTTTATCAGGTATTTTTCATAAATATTATTTATATTATAACTTTCTTACTTTTTAATAAACTAAATAATAATTTTTAGTGTGTAGATAACTTCCCATATTTAAACCGTTGTCCTGCCGGTTTGTACTTTGATGATGTAAACAAGTTATGTACGTTTAAAAGTGAAGCCCGTTGTGGTCCTCTTCCAACTAGTAAGGCTTTATGAATTTATAATAATTATATGACATTTATGAACGAACATCTTATTTTTATTTAGCTGAAGCCCCAAGTACAGAGAACCCAATTGATTTAGCTCAAAAATGTGATACAAGTCAATGTGTATTACCTTACTGTTTTTGTTCAAGAGACGGAACCTTAATACCAGGTGGTTTAGATCCAAAAGAGGTATATTTTATTGTTATAAAAATATAAAATATATTTATTAATAATAAATACATGATTATTAAAAATATTTTTAGACTCCTCAAATAATACTGTTAACATTCGATGGAGCAGTAAACCAAAATAATTATGATCATTATCAGAAAGTATTTTCCCATAATAAAAAAAACCCTAATGGCTGTCTAATAAAAGGAACATTCTTTATATCTCATGAGTATTGTGATTATAACATGGTACAAGAGCTTGCACATAAAGGCCATGAGATTGCTGTTGAAACTGTTTCGTAAGTACCTGCATATTGAAAACATTATACATAATCAATTAATATTATTTGATGAATCATTTAACATTGTATAATTCAATGAAGAGTTTTAAATTTTAAATTCCCTCCTATATAAATACTATTTTTTTAATTTAAACAAGTCGATTAAATATGAGTTAAAAAATTAAATGTGCTTTTATTTAGCTTATTGAAACTGTGAAAATTGTTTTATGATGACATGGCATAACATATATACAATATATATATATATATATATATATATATATATATAAATATTACAAAATAAGAGAGGTATTTCAGGTTATATACTATTAACATCCCCCTCCCCATAATGGTTACACCACTGGTTTAATGGATATTGTATGGTTGTATTGATATAACGCTTTTTTCGTGTAAAGAAACTATATAAATTAGTTATACGATTAATTAAAAATATAAAAGACCAACATTTTTTTCAGCCTACAAAAAGGTCTACATGACAAAGGATATGAAGAATGGGTAGCTGAAATGATTGGAATGAGAGAAATTCTCGTAAATTTCGCAAATTTAACCAAAGGCGATATTGTTGGAATGAGAGCTCCATTCTTAAAACCTGGTAGAAACACACAATACGAGGTATTTATTTGTCATATAAGTGTATGAATATAAGATAAATTACTAAAATCTTTAGAAAACTATCAAAAAAGTAATAATTATTCCATTTAGACTTTTGAATACAATTTAATTAATGTGGTTTACGTATATATTTAAGAATATGCTGTATTGGCAATCACACATAGGTACTGTTACTAATTTCACAAATCTGTTTACTCCAATTGTTGATTTAGTTTTTATCAATTTTTTGTAAAGAAATTTTACCATAAGTCGAAAAAATAGGTGAACTTAGATTATATACTCATCATTAATTTAATTTTAGGTAATTGAAGATTATGGATTCGTTTATGATAGTTCAATCGGTATACCTCCATCTAAGGTACCAATATGGCCATACTCCCTTGACTATAGAATTCCACACGAATGCAAGTCTGGGACATGTCCAACCAAATCATTTAAAGGTTAATTTCTAGAAAAAGATAGAAGTACAAAATATGAAGACAAAATATGTTTGAACAATGCTCTTGTTATTAAATATTATACATTTATAATATTTATTCTTATTAATAATAGGTACATGGGAAGTTCCTTTGAATGCTCATTATGTGGAAACATACGAAGGTGGTCATTGTCCATACTTAGATCAATGTGTGTTGCATAGTCATGATGCAACCGAAGTATTCGAATGGCTTCGTGAAGACTTCAACCGGTACTATAATCAAAATCGGGCGCCATACATGATGCCATTCCATACCAACTGGTTCCAAATAAAAGAACTAGAAGAAGGACTACATAAGTTCATTGACTGGGCAAATAAACAGTAAAGAAAATGTTTGCTTTGCAATTGATGAAAACCTAATTATCTTTAATACAAATATTATTTTAGACCAGATGTATGGTTCGTTACAACTACTCAAGCATTAACATGGATGACTGATCCAAAGACCACCAAGGATTTAAATGGATTTGAACCATGGATGTGCGATAAAACCGATCAGTTACCCTCACCACCTTGTAATCTGCCAAACAAATGTCCACTTTCATTTAAGCATCCAGAAACTAATGTATCAGGGACAAGGTAATTCAATCACTATTTAACAATTGTATTTTACTAATGTAAAATAGATGAATAAAACAAACGATTTAAATGAAAGTATAAAAATATATGTAATCATAAATATGTATTATTTTAGATATTTATCTACGTGTAAGGAGTGCCCTAAAAAATACCCATGGCTTGGAGACTCCAAAGGAACTGGTGTTGCTGGAGCAGATGTTTATTCTCCAGAAAATTTAAAATAATTACATTATTATATTTAAATATATAAACCAAAAATATTTATTATTTTATTTTTACATTTTTTTTAATTCTTTTTTTTTTTTTATAGCATTTAAGTTATTAATTCAATGAACATTAAGTAATGATTTTCAGCATTCTTTAGACTCCATAATCGATAAAATTTTGAAAACTGAAAAAAGCAAGCATCAAATATATTAAAAATTATAAATTATTATATTATCCCATTAATACATGGTAAAATATAAAATAAAGCAAACCCAATTATATTATGTATAGTATTTTTTACATTTAACCCGTTCCTTGACATAAACTAATACCAAAAATCTAACCATAAATAAATTCATATACATATTATACAAATAATCCACGAAAAGATGGTAGTTTTTTCAACTGTTGTTTTACGCGTTATAATTATTATGACCGTTGACGTGAGCAGTACCTCTTTCCGTCGTATAATAATATATTTTACAAGCCGATTTGGCTAAAAAACGGAGAATTATTAGATTTGCATATAGCAGCCGTAACACTATACAATCTACTCAAAGCAGATTTTAAACTTTTTTGATTGTGGTCTTAATTTGATTGTAATCCTTTTGAATATATATTACTACTATTGATGATTTGATTCTAATTGTAGCACCTAAAATGTATAAAAAATGATATACAGGTGTGGTATGTTTTTATAATTTCTTTTGGAGATATTACAGTTTTTGAATAATCATTTTAAATAATCATCACCTATTATTCAAATTTTTTCAATTATTGAATCTCTGGTTTTAACTTTCAAGATTTCTCAATGTAATATTTTTTTACATTGTAACCAAAATTGTAAAACAAAAACAAATAATCACACAATTATATGTTGTCATTTTCTCATAATTCATCAATAATAAAATAAAAAATAAAATAATTTTCTTAGAAAATTGTGAAAATTAATAAAATTATTATACTTTAACTTTGCTATATATTAGGCCTACAATGGTAATTTTTAAGTGTTTGACAATATAAGGAAATATTTATAAGACGTACACATAGATAGCGTATACAGTTATCTACCATGAAATAAATAACGGTTACAACAGAAAATATAGTAGCAAATAAGCAAAGGCCATAGATCTATACAAGTATGCTATAGATCTATGAAAAGGATAACTGAAAATTGTCATAGGACTAGCAGCAGTTACATTTTCAGTAATAGTATTAATACTACTATTAGTACGTATTGTATAATATTAAAAGAATCAATATATATATTAAATAATAGGCACATGTAAAATATTTTGATTTTGATTTTATAAACATCAACGACGTCAACGATGAGTTTATTGATAAGATTGATTTTTTTTTCTATAGTACCATTAATTTGCTCTATGGAGTATATTGCCATTTATAAAATGAGTAAATGGCATTTTTTTTTCCGTCATAAATCGTTCTAATGTAGTTTAGTCGTACAGTTAAAAAAGTGTCAACGAAGATTCACTGATCGGCAATTGATTTCATTTTATCCGAACCACTTTGTAATAAACGTTTACAGGTAAATACACATGATATCTTTTTCACAAAAATTAAAACACGTTTTTGAATAATAAAATAACGTTTAAATGATCGTCGACATTATGTCTAAAAGTATATTTACATTTTAAATTAATATTATTGATTTGTCGATATGAATAATATAATTAATACTAAAAATTAATATATATATATTATATTAAAAGTGTATTTATTTGCAAATATATGGCACACCATAGTTTGTGATGTGGAATTATAATATTAATATAATACAATTGATAATATATATATATATATTTAATGAATGATAATAGTTACTAAAAGTGGTATATTTAATTACTGGAGCAAGTAACCTATTTCAAGGGAAATTTAATTTTAATTTTAAAAATATTTATTGAAAACAATTTTGAAATAAGTGGTTAAAGTTAATTGGTAAATCCATTGTTCAGACCTAAATTTTAATAGTATAAATACATATTTAACCAAATTTGCTTAATTTTTATTTATTTTGGAAGTTAATTGTTTGGTTATTTATACAGCATAGGTAGTGAAATGGATGATTGTGATAGTGACGATTTGATAATAATAATTTTATTCGAAATTAATAGAACCCCACCACCAAAAAAATTTTATCTTTGCATAAGATGTACTTAGGTTATTTATACATCAATGATATTGTAAGTATTTTTAACATATATTGCACCAGATTATGATTACATTTACAATTGGCTTAAATAGAAGTGCAATGAATTTATTTAATTTTTAGTTAAACTATTTGTAGGTATCCCTTATTCCATTGAGAGTACAATAATTTGTAATCTTAATCAAAATGAATCCACAAATCTATTCTTATTTGACAATGGAAGTAATTTTTCGAGAGGGTAGAGGGTGTATCGAAAAAATTAAAAATTACCTACTCTTAGAAGTAAAATATATAAAAACGCCACTGTAATTATTATATTAATAATAAATGCTATTTTTATATGTCCTTTCCAAAACCATTTATTTCTATAAAATAGCACATATTTGTAATTATCAAATATTAGGATTTAGTTCTCATTTGTAGAAAAGTATCACACTAAATAAAAAAAAATAAACTATTCTACAATAAATAAACATTATTAAATATAGTTAAATACAATGACTTGCGGATATGAACTATTAATAATATAAATAAGTTTTATAATTGTATTACTGGATTAATTATTTTGGAGATTATAACAATGGTATAACAAAAGTAAATAAATTTATTAAACAGTCAAAGGAAAATTATTTTTTTTTTTTTTGTAGAGTTAGTACAATTAAAATTGCACATTATATTTTTATTTATAAATTACAAAATACATCACTAGATAGCACTAGTTGGATCAAACATAAATAGTATGTTAATTATACTATTGACTTAATATATATATATATTTTTAATACTTCAATAATTATATGAATTTAATGTTTTTAAAATATCAAAAATATAGTTTCATGTATGTTATAAAAACCAGGTATATGAACAAGGTAAACCATAGACTAAATACGTATCTTTTTTCATTTTTTATTTTTTTTTTATGAAAAGTAAATTTATTGAAGTCATAATGATAATATTTTAAACCTAATATTTCATTTTTCAAGTAATTAGCAAGTTTTTACTTTAAAATGTATAACTTTATAATTTTATTGCACACAAGACATTATTTTTATTGCTATAGTCCAAACGTATTTATAATATTCTAGTACATTTTTATCAAGTATCAACATTTCAGAAGTATTATTGGTACTATTTTTTCAAACCTCTACAGAAAAATGAATGTTTCTAGTTATGTATTTGGTAGGAGAAATCCACCAACAATGATTAAGTGTCCGGACACTTCCCGGGAAGAGGGAGGTATAAATCTGATAATATACTGTAGTATCTTAAAGGAGCTTAAGATAAGCTTCTTCTCAGATGTGTTATCCAGGAAGTATAATATACTTGAGTAAAGTCCCACAAAATTATTTACCTTCAACCTATGCCTATCAGTTCGAGTTACAACCCAGTCGTTCTATATTATTCTTATATTTGTTATTATTTATTTATATTTTTGCTTTCATCATAATTCAAAGTATACACATACACATACGCTCTATTAGTAATTTACTGCATAATAATATGACTGTTTCACGAGTACATAGCGCGACATTGACTTACGCTAATTCTAATTTCTGGGGCAATTTCAATCTATTTTCAGAGCTGTTCATAGGCGAAATTCGAGGGGGATTTGGGGGTTAGTCTTTAGCCTAACATTATTACGAATAAAAGCATCAATTCTAAAAATTCCCCAACAATTACTTATTGCAAACGTGGTTATTTTTTTCGTCTAATTATTTCATATTTTTAAACAATTTTACAGAAATTATAGTTTAAATTAATATTTTTGTAATATTACTTATACTAACCTGTATATACATAATCACGTATTATAATTCATTTTATCCTAGGGGCACAATGTACTTTATCAGTAACGAAAACGCTCCTGCTAAAAAGTTGAACACTGTACAAAAATTGAATATCATGCCAATACTAACTGATGACATAGAAACTGAACCGGAATTGATTTCTAATGAGAATACCAACGTTCAGAAGCGTGTATATGGACGTGCCAGAGCAAATTTGAGCTTTAGTTCATTTCATATATTTTGTGAAGATTTTCGTATGCAACTTGGTTACTTATATGCTAATAAATCTGAAGCCTACCGCAAGAACTTGTGAGTGTTAAAAAATTAAAAAAATGTTTTAATAAACATACATTTTGATGGGCATTTAAAATAATGTGTAATAATATATCTATATAATTTTATACATAGGTATTAATTAATGTTTAATAAATAGTTATGAGTGAAATTGTAAAGGTTGTAGTTACAATTGTTATATTGTCTTACCCAGGAATTTATTATGGGGGTGGTTTAAAATTTTTATTTTATCTGTTCTCTAATTATAATTATAGTTTAACTCATTATCAACAAATTACTGTTAATATACTATTATATGGTTTATACATTATAGGTATATTATATAATCTATAAACTTTGTATATTGAAGATAATAGGAAATTAAAATACACTATATACTTTTATTATACTATTTACTATTAAACCATTTAGTATGTAGAAATTCCAATGGAGGAGAGTCCGGACCCAAAACCCCCTCTTGGGTACGTCTTTGATCTTATCGATATGTATATGATGTATACCGTTCATTAATTTAAAATACTAAATTTACTTGAATTTAAATAATGTTGTATTATAGATTGTTTACTAAGTTTGATTATTTGTATTCACTATTAAAGTTATTGTTTAGAATATGAATGCTTTAAGTTTGAGGAGGTTTTTTTTTAAATCTAGAACTTTTTAAACTCATTGAATGAAGAAAGAAATATGCGTGTTCAATTTAAGTTTATAATACTCATACTTGATTTTTTACTGACTTGAGTAATAATCATATATAACACATTTTGAAATAAATCATTTACAAATATAACAGCATATATTTATAATACATAATATCAGTTAC